GGCGGGACCCGCTCCGGGGGCGGCCCCACGGCCGGGCATCCAGCAAGGGCTGCAGTCGAAGCAATCACTGCACGTTACCCTGAAGCTTGGGAGCAAGTGACCCCCCCCAGCCCTGGCCGGGCAGCTCCTTCACGGCTCTTAAAAGGAGCCGAGGCGGATCTCCCTGCCGTGCCCAGCGGGAGGGACAGGGTGGGCATCTTCTCTTCTGGCCGCCTGTAGCAAAAGCTGCTGTGGCTTTTCCTGCAGGACGGGGTGGAAAGATGCACCAGGAAACATTTTTAAGTAAGACACGATATATATGGTGTTTTCTCTAGTGATTATTTTTGTACGTTTACAGGCAGTTGGCGACTCATTTAAGGGGACAATCTTAAGGAAAAAGAAAGGAAGCCTTTCTACACTCACTGACTACTAGATTCAGTGTTAATTTGGTAATTCCATTGAATAACAAATGCTAATACTGTTTTAGTTGTTTTTCACTGTGCTTGACTGGCAACTCTCTGAACTACGTAACGTTCAAGGAAGAAATGGTGACTCTGGTTTGTTGCCTGTCTGAGGTGAGCCAAATAGCAATTTTACTTCAGCAGCTGCAGGGCCATCCAACATGAGACAGGTTTGGCTAAAACTAACCTTGGTAAGACGTAAGCCATGGTCTCAGAGCTCCATGATGGGTCTTCCTGTCTTAGTAGTTACAGCCATCGACACCACAGTTCAGAGAGGCCAGAAAGAAACCATGGGCCTGAACATCTGAGGCTTCACCATTGTTCAGATCTAAATCCAGCTAATAAACCTGCAGCAGAGGCCTACCTCTAAGCCAGTGTTGTCCTTCATGGCATAACACACCAACCACAATGATATTTTTTAGGCATCATTTACTCTGGGGGGTCTAGCTCACAGCTATGTCAGTCCAGTTTTGTAGCAATGTAAAATGAGAGTGAACTAGTAATGAATCACATTGTCTGTCAATCTATTCTGTTTGAATCATGTCATCCCAAATAATGCTGCCTGTCATCACTTGTTTTGAGACAACCCAACCAGTCACTTCAGTGAGTTTGCTCCATGGACTCAGTCTCTCTCTCATATCACTTGAAATTAGATGGTGAGTTCTTCACACCAGAATCTATGCCTCCTAAAAGTGAAGCACTTCTAGATACTGTAACATAAGGCTGGCCACACTTCACACTTGCATAATTCCTGTTGTTTAAACCAGAGCATAAGATGTACAGTAAATGCCATAAGATACACTTAGCTGCTGTTCCTTAGGAAATCACATAAAGAGGTCTGTTGTGCTTTCCACTGGAGCACTGAACAGCATAGCTTCAGTTTCCTCTTATGTCAAGAGTACCAAGCTCTGCTGGAAATAAACCAGAGCCTGCAGGCTGTGTTGTACCTTGACAGCCCAGGATCCAGCTCCCTCACCTGGAAAGTGATATTTAGACCTCTCTCACCTGACCCCAGCTTCTAACATAACCCACATTTCTTTGCACACCTGTGCAGATGAGTTTTATGCAACTTTTCAGAAAGCAGATGCATAAAATAGTCTCTTCCAGCACTCCCACAGTAGCACATACACCAGCAGGTGAATCAGGTACCTTGTTTTGCCTCATTTACTCTGAGTACCAATTTTTACACAGTCTGGGTGAAAAAGCTGAATAACTTTCCCAGTTGTAGTAGAAAGTTGTTCCTCTGCATCCAGGCTCATCCTCTGAGGTACCCTGATACCCCTGAGTGCTTTCTGCTGCTGTTGTTTGGTCCAGCTGCTGTTGACTCACCCCTGGCACAGTGAACCCAAACCAAGCCTGCTACTGTCACTATTGTGATGGGGGTTCTCCCTGAAAAAAAATATGTTTTCCTTTGTTAGGTGTGTTAAAGGTATCCAGGCAAACAGAAACTCACAGTGTATCTCAAAAGATTTTAAGTGCCATCACAGAAGCACAGCTTCCACTCGAGTGCTGTTGGGAGCTGAATATCAATGAGGTATTTTCCTGAAGGTGAGTGGGAGTCCCTGGCGGCAGCGCCTTTGCCGTGTCAGAACGGCTCTCCTGTTCATTGCTGCATGGGACAATTCCTTGTTTTCCACAAATTGGATTAAATCACTCTGTCTCCTATCAGCCACAGCCCCGGATTTTTGAAATGCCAATTTATGATGGACATTCTCTGAAACTGCTCCAAATGACAGGGAAGATACTTCTGCACACCAGTACTCGTTTTGCATTTTTCTGAAGATTAGACATCTACACTGCAAGTCTTTGCCAGTCTCCATGGCAACTAAACACTTGCCAGCTAGGTTATGTATTCAAGTACAGTTAATTTCAATACTTTTCCAATTAAGATTCCACAACAACCTTATTTTCTTGCTATAACCACAGTACTAACACAAAGGCATTCTGGTATTATAGTGCAAAATTTAGGTGCTAATAGCTGTACTGAATGTTCCTGGTTGGAACCTGCCTGGCAGTAAAAGTACTGCATCAGATCTTCATTTTTCATAATTACCTCTAGATTCTTCTGCCTGAAAATACAAACACTGCCAAGACATGAGAGTATCCTTTTTTCCATCCTGCTGGAAATGGAAACAATTATCCCATATGAAATTGTGAAATAACAGAACTGTTGATATCAGAAAATTGGTAAACCAAGGACACATAGTGTCATTACAATTTAAAAATCATCAAGAAAATTTGCCTCTCAGTGCAAAAATATGGTAATGGGAAATACTAGCAACTATAATAAATTATTATCTTCGTGCTTATTTAAAATTTATATTTCCAGAAGTGTATCTATAGTATTTATTTGTATTTGCTATTAAATAATTCAAACTATGGATTCACTTACATTATATGCAGCTTTGTGTCTGGATAGTGTCTAGAATCATAGGGCTTCAGTCCATGAATTGAAACACTGAGTGAAATGGTAATAAATATAGCAATATTAAAATCACATCCCTTACATGAGTGTCTGCTGAGTAGCTAATTGTTTAGCAACCACTGTAAAATCTCTATGATGATTTGCTTGGCAATACAAAAATGCTGAAATAACAATGGGCCACATGCAGCCAATTCTGTTATTCCTTGAACAAGTTCTTGCTGCTGGAAATTAAATGAGTTAGGAAACTGAATGACTGCTATTCAGGAAATGAAAAGGTTTCAAAATTTGTTTTCTAATATAAGAAAGTAGACATACAGGCACAGTCTTTGCATCTCTACAACAGACATTCAAAGGCCTTTTCTGGAAAATGTGCATCCTCATGCCAGCATAGTGTGTCCCGTGTCTCTGAACCAAGACAGATATATCAGAAAACACTTTTTGTCATGAATGCAATTTGTAGATCCTTTATTTACATTTATGAAACAGCCGCTACTTGACAAGGATTTATAATCTTCAAATAGTTTCTGTGAGGATGAAAAGGAAATGTTTTTCATTCTTAAATGCCAGAGTTGTCAAAGCGCATGTGATTCATGGTAATTTTGATGGAAGTTGTTTCAATGTCATGGGTGAAGTTTTGGCCCCATGGAAAACTGAGGAGCCATGAGCCCCAGGTGGCACTCTGGAACATCTCTAGGAATGCTGTACAGAGACCCATGCCCAGTGAACTGCAGTGGATTGTGTCAGTAACTGGAGTTAAAAAGTAGCAGAAAATGGCTTAGAGAAAATCTACCCAGCTGGAAGCCTCATTCAGCAGTGATTTGTATTCATTAGAAAAATAAACCTGTACAAACTTCATAGGGAAAATACATTTTCTTTCTTAAATGTGTCTATATTTGTTTTCATGACCATATAAGGTTCCATTTCTTTCCTGTATAGGACTGAGATGTTGGCTTCATTCTCTAGGGTCCTGGTCAAGCAGTTCACAGGTGTGCTGACCTGTTGTGCAGATGAATTTACTTGCTAGTCTTAAAGGTGCTGCATTTCAGATTGCTTTTTACTCTGTTACTTGAGAAAGTTCAGAAGTTGATGGAGGCTCATCTGACCTGCTTTATCCCTCTCTGTGTTCTGTCTCTTCAGTTTTTCTTTGCCTTTTGGACAATTTCTCTTTGAGCTCTGTGTTTTGAGGCAGCCAGAGCAGAAAAAAGTATCCTGGAACACAGCAAAACTTTCCCCTTTTTGTGTTTTAATTCTTATAGCATCATTCTCCTATTTTCACTTTGTATTTCAGACCTGAACACCTTAATATTTCCTTTTCTTCATTGGAAGTGAGCTGAGATCTGAAACTGCTATCCATCCCTGAAGGTTTAGGTGTAGCTTGCCTTGTTCTGATTTAAAAAAAAAAAAAAAGAAAAAAAAAAGAAAAAAAGAAATTAGCCAGTTGTACCAGTGTTTCTAGTGTCTCCCTCATTTAATTCCATGCAGGTGCCTACAGCAAGAGTATGACTCCAGTCTGCCTACTGCCAGCATCATCATCTGTTTCCATGACGAAGCCTGGTCTACTTTGCTGAGAACTGTGCACAGCATTATGGACACAGCGCCAAAGGCCTCCCTCAAGGATATCATCCTGGTTGATGATCTCAGCCAGCAAGGTAGCTCCCTTTTTTTTTTTTTAATTTTTATTTTTATGTGTATGAGCTCTTTTTTCCAAAGCTTCAGGGAAGAAACTGTCTCCAAGAAGTGCGTGAGGAGAGTAGAAGGCAAAGAGGACCCTCAGGAAAAGAGCTAAGCAGAGCCTTGAGCTGGCTGCCAGGTTTCACTCTTCCATCCCTAGAATTCAACTTAGCCATTCAACTTTGAAGTATGTTTCTTTTTTCCCCATCATTTGCAATCACTCTGAACTTTCTTGCTTTAAAATATAAGATCACAGTATGCAAATCTTAGCCTTCCCACTGGACCAGATCTGCTGTAATAATTTCCAGACTTGGACTTTGGCTGAAGTGTAGGGTGGAAAACTCCACATTGCTAAAGTAATATAAAGTGCTTGGGAAAGCCAAACACCTGTAGGATGTCACTCTGATCTGTGCCTTTTATGAGAAGATGAGAGCATCTACCTTTTGCTGAAAACAAGAGAGGAGACTATTAAGTTTCCCACAGGGATGGCTTCACACCTAGTGAATCTCAATTTCCATTAGTCTCTACTTCTCTTTGACATTGTGCTGCTGTAGGAATATTTGGAACCTGGCCTTCTTGACCATGTAAAACAAATGCCCCCAAAACATTTTGCCAGCAAGAAGCAGCATCTCCTACTACCTGTTGCTTTACTGTAACAGCTTGATTCAAAGCCAAGACATTTCAGTGACCATTCTCTTTCTCACAGGGCCCCTGAAGTCAGCTCTGAGTGAATACATCTCTAAGCTGGATGGTGTGAAACTCATCAGGAGCAACAAGAGGCTTGGAGTCATCCGAGGTCGGATGCTGGGAGCTGCACGGGCAACTGGGGATGTGCTCATCTTCATGGATTCACACTGCGAGTGTCAGAAGGGCTGGCTGGAGCCCCTCCTAGCCAGGCTGTCCAGCAACCGGTAAATATCCCAGTGACCTCTGAGCTCCCTGCCTATGCTGATTTCTGCTGCAAGAGATGTACTTGGAAAGGTCTGAGTTGTGTGGGTTTTTTTAATATCTTCCCTTGGTTATCTTCTTCACTTCGGCCACATTGCTTTTTCTTTTTTTTCCTATTTTGTCACTCTGAAGCAGGAAAGGAAAGCAGGTTAGGTCACACAGCTGATAACCCTCCTTTCTGTCAGAGTTTGTATCCAGTTGGAGCTATTAGATGGCTTCCTACCCATCTGAATTAAAAAAGGTTGCAATCTCAAACTGTTTGGAAATTGGCAAACATCCACCAGAGAAACTACTGCAAGACTCCATTATTTTTACTTTTTATCATGAAGCCAAGGCTAAAATGCTTTGTCCTTCTGAGACAGTTTGGCTAAATACCAATGTCACCTGTACTGTCTAGGTTGTCCCACAGAAAAAAAATAGACTCTCTAGATGGCCTAGACAGTTCTAGCTAATCACAAATGCTTTCACTGACACCAGACTGACAGAGGAAGATACAGATTTTCTCAGTCTTTCATGTCTAGATTGGTTCTTGGGCCTGCTCTATAATGTACAGTTGAGCTCATCTATGCAGTCCCCAAGTCCTTCAAAGAGATTCAATCACTGAAAATGTTTCAAGAATTACATGTCAATAAATCCTTTATCTAAAGGACTTTTCTGAAAGAAAAATTTGTATATTAACTTGTCTATCATTACCCAAAAGCCACCTGGGAAAAAATGAATAATTGCTTGAGGGGGTAAAAGAAAAAACACATCTTTTAAACTCTTACCAAACTGTTAAATAGTCAAATTAAAGACCTTCAAAGGCTTTTTCGAGGCACTGGAAAAATCTGCTTTTATGGCTGATTATATTTGCTTATAAGAGAATTAACATGAGTTTTTATAAATTATTACATCATTGGGATGAAAGCATTAAAAATAATGCAAGCAAGAGTAATTCTGTCCTAAGACGTCAAGACTATTATTTTCTAAAAGATCCTCCTTGGAAAAGCTGGTTATTTTTTTCTGCTGGCTTAATAGATGGTGTATTATGAATATACTTCATGATTCTTCTGCCTTGAACTGTACTCTACTGTCGATGTTCATGCAAAACTCTTACCTGCATCAAGTGGCTAGTCCTTGTTCAAGACTGTATTGCTGAATTTAAAAGAGTTACAAAAGGTCTCAGAGAGCTATAGTGGAAGGGGGAATTACAATGACAAGAGAGAAGTTAGGACCCTCCCACAATTGTAGTGATTCACTGTCAAAAATTATCCCTGCTAAGGGACTGCAAACCACCCACCTCTGACATTTATGTGGCACTGTTATCAGGGAGTAAGAAAGGGGTGCTCTTCCTCTATAGGGCTCATTCATTCTTCCAGGAGAGCAGAAATTAATATAGAGTTAGCTAGGGGCTAATTAGATCTGTGGAGCAAAGGTGGAAGGATGAAGTATGGTCTAAACCATCCCTTACTGTATGCTGTATCAGTCACTGTGTCTGACCCTGGAAGCTTTGTCACTGCTCATGGAGGGAACCTGTGCCATTCCCCAGTGCACAGGGAAGACATGCTCTGAGGCTTCTGGTGATCCTTCTCCCTTGCTGTCCTTTCCCCAGCTGAAAAATGGTGGTAATAGAAACTTGGAGTCATAGAATGATTTGGGATGCAAGGGACCTCAAAGATCATCTAGTTCCAACCCCCCTGCTATCAGCAGCAGGGTTAACACTATAATAACTATAATTATTATAGATAGACTATATATACCTATATACAGTTATATAAAACTATATATATCTATAATAACATTACCCTGATAAAGAAGTGAATTCATTCTTTTTCCCAAATTGCTTGTAATACTTGTATGAAGATCACTGTGGAAATATAAAGCATCACCATAGTCAAATTGACTTCATTTAGCAGTTGAGGAGCTGTTAAATTGAATCATGTGCATTCCCCGAGACTACCCAAATGAGGAAAGTACAACAAAAAAAAGCTTACAGTGACTAGTGAAATATCCATCATTCCTCTTCTTAATGTACCAATCAGACTGTAACTCATGCACTTCTGCAGAAGAGACAGGATGGGAAAACACTTAATCACCTAGAGTGAGTGAGTTGTTTGCTGGCAAGGAAAAATGAAGCTTTTCCAAAGCTCAGACCTTTGCAGGAGCTTAGCGGAGCTGGAAGGGGATTTTAACTTTGAAAATTGGTATTAAGCCTAGTTTTCTAGACTCCTGATCAGATCTACCACTCTGATGAACCTGCTTTAAAGTGATGCCAAGAGATCCTTGCCCAAACTGAGACCTCACTGTGAATTGAACATGCTCACAAAAGGGGAGGCACCCTAAGTTCTGAGTAGCCTGTGGTAATGACTGACAGGACAAACAGGAGAAAAATTATCCCAGTGTTACAGGTATGGATATATTTGATGGATATTTGATTTGCTCTTGGTGCTGACATTTCATCTCCCTCCGGATCGTTTTGTTCAGTAACCCAAACAAAATTATTTTCCCAAAGAGTGTTGAAACTTTCTAAAATCTTTACACATACATTTATGGGCACCTTGGTTGGGAGTAGTTCTGTGAACCATGCATAACAAATTGGTTTGGAAGCTGTGCATCAGCTTAGTCTATGGCATGGAGGATGGTTCAGTGGTTTGTAAGGCATCCCTTGACATTTTGATTATTCAAGGATGAAGAGACTCTAGATACCTGGACGACATTATAAAACTAGATGAGATGCCCCACAGATCATTTCATTTGACAACTGTTTGTGTTCCAGGCTAATTCTGTGCCATTATTACAGGTGTCTTTTGAGGTGTTTGACTTTTCCAGGAGACTGCAGGAGGCAGCTGCTATTTTGTATTCAGTCCAAAGGCAGAGAAAGGCAGAGGGACATATAGTGAGCTGTGCCATGAAGCCTTAAAAAGGCTGTTCCTTTTACCAAAAAACAGCAACTAGGCTGAAGTAGGATGATTTCTTAAAAAAAATATCTGAAGTATGTTTCTGAGAATACATTATGAAAGCAAAATGAGCCTTGATTATATACTTTACAAGGAATTCCACCTGTAAAAAAAGTCATGGGCATCATAACTGTGGGCCTTTCCTTGGCTCCTCATTGCAATGGCTGTTTCCCTTCGTGCTGGTGCACTGCCTGTACTACAGCACACATATTACGTTAGGAAACAGAAGTCTATCTAATTCCTAAAATTCAAAATGCCTCTATGTATCTCCATGATTCTAAGCCACTAATCTTTGATAAAAATGCTGTTAAACAGAATAAGGAATATAAATATAATTGTATATTTAAAAAACACAGCAGTGGAAAGGTACCTCATTCGCTGTTTGTTCCCATTCAGGAGTGAATGGGAGCTTCTGCATGTAGATACAGGGGATGGAAACAGCTGTCCAGAAAACTTCTGTGTAGTTCTAGTCTTATTACTCTAGGTAATACACTAGAGAAGGGAAGTACTTTGCACTAAATTCTCCAGTTCTCAGTGGCCCATACCCCAGCTTTTTAAGCTACCAAGTACATAAGCCATCTGTCTGTTTTCTATCTTCTCACAGGTTTAGAGAAGCATAATGCTATCCAGCTTCTGAGCATGCATTTCCATGCTGCTCTCCTACTTCCACATACTTCACAGCGTGCTTTGTGAGACTTCTGTATTTACCTGATCCTTTTATATCCTCCAATTGTCAATAACACTAATTTTAAATTCAGTAAATTAACATTCTGCATTTACATGGCATGTTATGTGAAGATATGCTATGTCTTTAAAATCTTTCACAGTTGATCAAGATCAGTAGATGACCTATTTTAAAGAAGTTGAGGTAAAAAAACTGAAGATGAGGATCTAAAGTCAAAAGCAAATATTACTGTCAAAAGTAGGAGCAATAAAGATTTAGGCATGATTCATGGCACAGTGCCCCGACTGACCAGTGTAAAAAGGTATTGGTAACTCCTACAGGTTTTGGTACCCCACATACAAATTTTAAAGGAAACAGGTTTAAAGGATTTTACTATTTTTTTTTAAATACAGCGTTCTCTTAGCACTTGAAGTATATGTTTAGTGCCTAGCATATGCATAGTCCATCAGTTCAAGGAGGCTATTCATATGCCTTAAGTTAGTTTGGAGTTGATCTGTAAGGCTGTATTTAAGCAAACATTTATACCATTACCTGATCACTTTACCATTCCTGTTCACTACGTGTTGTCTTTTTATTAACTTTATCTAATTTCAAATGTTTTGCCTAACTATTTCCCTGAAGTAAAGGGGTCAGCCAGTCAGCCAGTCAGCAAGGAGATTTCAGTGAAAATGCAGAGTGCTGTTGAACCAGCTTGGGTTCTCAGTTACGTGTTGAAGTTTTGACTGTGTGTAGAGCCAGAGAACTTGGACTGCCTGGCTTTCCTACGTATCTAATTTTTGCAGTGAATGATCCACTCTGAAGCTGGTTGAGGAAAATATAAAAAAAAATTTATTATTTTTTTTTTTATTCCTCCTAATTTAAAGGTGGATTTAAACAGATTAAAATCTGTTCCCTTCTCAGCAAATAAAGTATAAATCAGTAAAAAGCATTTTCAAAACCCAGTGTATCTAAAACTTCAAAACAGATGTGTTAATTAAATCTTCCTCTCCTCATGTTACTTATTCTAAAAATAAAAAAGAACATCATGTCCATGGTGACAGCAAAGGGTCATGGGAAGACATTTCATTTGCAATTGTATTTGGTTGAGAAATCCCAAACCAGGAAATTGTTCTTGTTTGGGTTGCTCTTTTTCATGGAATTGTGACCTTTTGTAGTTCATGTGTGTTCCAAGCATTTGAAACATTCACAAATTAGTCAAATAGTTCAAAGCTTTGCTGCTAGTTTATTTGAATTTCCTGTTTTTTCCTCTCCTTGAATTCCACAGAGTAAAATTAGCTGTAGTTTGGCAGTGCATGTTTAATTTCAAAGTGCTGAGAAGCTGCTGACTCTCTGCCAGTTACCCAGTTAAAAACAAAAAAAATAGCTAAGAACACCTTCCAGCTCTCAATTACCTTCCACTGCACGTTTGCGTTTAGAACCACACAAACACCAAACCATCACTGCATATGCAGAAATCAGATCTTTTATTTAAAAAGAGCATTAACACCAAAAGATCAGTAAAGCACTGCTTGATTAAGATTAAAATTTGGACATTGACCAGTTTTCACACAAGATAAGGTTACTGGATTCCTCTGTTTCAGATCAGAAAGATGCTCCCATTAAAATGTGTGTTTCTATTGATTTCATCAAGCTCCACCAGTTTGTACTAGGTGAAGATCTAGCGTTACACTTACAAACATGCACTGGAAAGCTGTTGATCTTGGCATTCTGAAAGAGCTACTAGAGTAATAGCTCTCAAACACAGTATCATTTTGTGGGAAAGAAGATTAGATTTTATTTTGTTCTAGTTTATGTATAATTTAGCCAGGGTAGAATGTGACCAATATAGTGAGTTATTTTCAGTTGTCTTAAACATTGTGATTTTCCATGTCATAATTTGCAGACAGTTTGCATAATTGCTTGATCTCCAAATTGTCTGAATCCATTACATCTCTGCAGGTATTTTTCTTGAATAGCATTGAAGAATGAATGCCCAATAACAAGCAGAGCAAAAGAATGCATTGCATGAATTTTGACAAGAACTACTACTGTGGTGCTTGCTCTTATGAGCAATTGCACTGATGCTAGAAGAATCTTTGGAGTTTTACAGTAACAACACATTTAAGGTCAATCCAAAAAGGACAGGTTTTAAATGGCTGGATATGAAAATTTAGTCTGAAATGTCTGGATCAGATCCAGAATGTACTGAGTGTAACTCTGAGTGTCTTCATTGTCTTTGTCTGAACTAGCCTGGATATGCACATGTGGTCTAGTCTTCACGGTCAAGGTTTTTTGAACAGTTTTGTCTACATTGCTTCCTCTGGCTTCCATTCAAATACATCCTCCTCTCATATCTCTCCTGGCTCTGAAATAAAAAACTGAACTACCCTCGGGTCATTAATTTCTCGGTCCTGTCTGGATAAGAATGGATAAATAAGTAGCAACAGGTAGCATGCATTTCAGCAAGTAGCAACAAGCTGAGATACAACTCTGACGACACTGCTAACCAGAGAGTTGTCAAGAGATGCTCGTCCACTGGAGAATGTAGCAGGCCATAGAAATCACAATTGCAATGACTCTTTATTTTTTGAAGTTTAGTCATATAAAATCCATTTAACTTGTTAGCTGGATTTTTATCAGCATATCAAAGACAAGAACACATACTTGTGTGAGTCCATCAGGACACTGCCTTTTAGTAACCTCTAGAAGCAGTTGTTTTACTTTTCATGCTGTTGGTGAGTAAAGGTTAAATGCACCTTTCAGTGGAAGGGTTCCTGCTGGCTTGAATCCAAGGTAGTTGCTCCTGTCCTGGATAAAAACCGTATCACAGAGCTATAATCATGAGAATCAGGGGTGGATATCAGCTTTGTTATTTTTAGTATAATTTCTTTCCATTTCTTCCTGAGTTCTGTGGAAGAATGAGAGCAAATCACTGCCTTGGTGTGTCTGCCCACAAAGGTTGCAGGTGGCCATAACACTTTCTTGTCTATTTATAATCCCAATGCTTGTTTCTAAGAGTGCCTGTTATTACAACTTACAAACACTGGTTTTAAACCTGAATGGGGAAATGTAATCACTTTTCTATTTAAAATATTTCTGGCTTTAGCTCATCATGGGACAGTCTGCTTTTATTAAGAAACAAAGGAATAACTGAGTCACTTTAATGCTGTCCTCTGCATAATTAATCTTCATACAATTCACTGACAATCAGTAGTCTCTGTTTCTCTGTGGGCTTCTAAAATTCTCTACAGGAAATGGCAACTGTGATAAAACAAAATTTGGCATTTCCCCCTACTCCGATTCTGAGTAAACATCACTCTAGTGATTGTAAAGCCAGAGAAGATACATTAAGATGACATTAACATCACTCAGTGACCATCTTCCTCAACTATTCCTGGTCTGTGCCATGGAAAAGTACAAAGGGCTTACTGCCTTGGAGACTTCTGAGATGACCTTTTGTCATTGATAGCTTTACATTTTAAGCATATTTCTCTAAAGAATGACCTCTAACCAACATATAAATCTTTCAAAGAGGAGATAAAACTGCCCCAAAACTGCCCATTTAATTTC